CCGGCATCTTCAGAGAGCAGGAGCACAGACAGGAGCAGTTCTCTCTGTGCCCAGGATGATTGTTAGGAAACAAAACTTCCAGAACACGGCCACACAGCCTGGAGACCCACACCAGCCATCGTATTCCGGCCGTGAAAGCCTTCGACAATACATTTTACATTAGAATATTTTTCTCTTGTGTTTCTACTAAGAAACCTTCAAAGACAATTACAAAAAAACAGGATAAACTGATTCTTTGGACCTTCCTTTATCCATTTTATGGAAGATAGGGACAATATATGCCTTTTACTGCTGTCTGTCACTTCCCCAGTGCTCCAGGATTTCTCAAAATGAAATATATGAAAATTTGGCTAAACCATCACGTAGTCCCTTCAGTATCCTAGGGGCAATTCATCCAGCCCTAGAAATTTAAATTCATTTAAAGTGAAGAGGCGTTCCCTGATAATGTTTTATCAGTCTCAAGTTTCAATTCTTCCCAATTTTTTTTGAGTACATATTTTTATGCTGGAGAAGACTAAATGAAAATAGGAATTCAGTACCTCTGCATTTTCTTTATTAACTGTTTAGCATCTGACCATAATTAAGCAGCTGGTAGGCTCATTATTTTCTTTTCCTTTAATTTATTTAAAGAAGTCCTTTTTGTAATTCGTAGCAACCTTCACTAATGTTGGCTTACTTTTGAGTTCTTGACACCTCTATTACAGTTCCTGACTACCTATAGGTACTCTTACTTGATGACTTGACCCTCTTTCCATTTCTGAAGTGATACAGTATGCAGCATGTGTCATTTTTAAGTGTAACTTTAATTCTGTCTCTAGAGAAATATTCAAGGTTAGTTTTAGGCTTCCACCATAGGTAAACATTTGTTCATGCTTATTTACAAGTTGAATATGAACACAGGATTGTAAGTAAAATGAAACTCTTTGAAACATTTTACAAATTGTATCCTGACTCAAGAAGTGCTTAAGCTGGTTTGTATATTAGATATGTAATTATCTTCATCTAGGTTCCTTAGTCAAATCTTCCTAAAATAGCTGATTAACATTTATGACAACTACTATGTTGTGATGCTCTGTATTACAAACACCAGTCAGCTTCAAGAGAGCATTGAGGACCTTTGCTCAGTATTGCATTGATAATCATCTATTGATTAATTAATTATCAAGTAGATTTTGCAAAAAGGTCAAATTGGGCAACATCATCAAAATTGTAAATGCTTTAAATATTTGGAGATTTGGTCATCATATCAACTGTTACCAACAAAACTGGTGTTTCAGTTCTCTCAAAAGTTGTAGAAATAACTCCCTATGGCTTTTATGCTATCACCTGTTTTATTATGTTTTATCTGGATATTTTAATGTTTGTAGGTTACTTTTAAATTGCTAGCCTAAATCATTCATTCATTCATCTACTAGTGCCATCTTTGTTTGCAGTTCTTTGCTAAGCTTTTTGTGTAACCACAATGGAATTATTTGCAATTGTGGTTGTAGTATCTCCTTTTAGGGAACTCCTATGTGTCTTGAGTTCCTTTTCTGATTAGTTTTTCCTGCCACACCATTGCTTTTTAAAGGATATATGTTTGATTACATCTAATTTTAATTTTCCTAAAAATCAAGAACTCCAGCATCTCATGATCACTTCCCCCAATATCCTTGTTCCTTCTGCTTCTTCAAAAATTATTTTCCATTAGTCATTATCAAATCAGGGATAGCTGATCATTTTGTGCTTTCCTCTACTTTCTGAAGTTGAGTACCATCCCTCAAAATGATTTACAGTATAAGCCAGGAATTTCCTGAAAGAGAAATTTGGCAGAGTTTGTCTTTCAACAGATGGCTAAGTAATTAAGGTTCCTCACCACTTCCAGTTTCTTTGCAAGATCTTCTTTTTACTTGTAGAAGGTATCATCCACATCTTTTGTAGACACTCACAAAAATACTGTTTTAATTCATTCCTCCACTTTTAATCCAAATGTTCTCTAAGTGTTGCTACGTTCATTCACTTGAGTTCATATATATAAAGTCTTTTTCACTCAGGTGTTAATATTGACATCCCAATAGACAGTTTAACCTGGTAGATTGTGTGTTGGAGTTAAGTTGCTTATCAAGAACTAAACCTTGCACATTGATACTAATCTTGCTGTATTTTTTAAAAATATAAGCTCCTTGCATTTTAAAGGAGAGAAAGGAATGCTTTCAACAATGTTATTTCATGTATCATAAATGATTTCCATCATTCATTTACACATTATACAGTTTATGACGTAACTTTCCAGTAGTAACCTGCTGTAGTGTAACTAAAATGGGTTTCATATTTCTCTGACTTGTTATTTTATTTTCCTGTGAGAATTGTGAATAGTGAGATGTGCTTGGACTGTAATGAATAGAGTTGCTTTCTTTGTACATTGTTTATAAAATTGTAATAATTCAACATTTAAAAATGATAACTTGATGCTAAATGAAAAAACTTTGTCTATTTTTCTTCAGGATCCGCAACATAGGTATAATGGCCCACATAGATGCAGGAAAAACAACGACCACAGAGAGAATGTTGTATTATTCTGGGTACATAAGAACCCTTGGAGGTTAGTGGTATGTGAGATAAGAAAAAAATTTAAGTGCAATAATTATTTTTCATATGGGTTAAAATCCATTTTATCCTTTTCTTCATAGAAGGTTTAAGCATTTACAACAAAATCCCACTTCCCAGGTAAACTAGAGATAGCTGCACTTAATTTATTGCCATCTTTGCTATCTCTGCTTGCTGTCCCTTTCAAGAGTTGAACTGGCCAACTCCCCATCCCTACTGCCTTAGAGGCCAACTTTTCTGTAAAGAGGGGAGGCAGCAAAGAACAACAAGACAAAGTGCCATCTTTGCCATTTCCACTTACAAACTTCCTTCCCCCTTCTTAGGCTTTGG